GCTTTTTTTTTTTCAAATAAAATATCTTACAGGTTGTTACACTAAAACCACAGATCTCAGATTCGTTCAACGACAGACGTCAATATTAGATACTTAAGTAACCGTAAATACTTGACAACCTGCGACCGGTCAAAGGTTGCGTTAGAATTTCTTTACATGAACTTGAAGGGAAACGACCCTACAACAATCGTTTATCACATTCACAGTTCAATTCCGTAGGGTCAAAACCGATTAATCGTTCCAACTTCTGTATTGTTTGTGCCGGGAAACAAGGGAATCCTTTTGCGATAGGTCCACTTTGAAAGGCTTTCATGTACTAACAATTGATGATTACGTAAGGAATGTAAATACAACACAAGTGGATAAGTAAAAGGATAGATGAATGGTTCTTATACACTTCAAACGGGCATCATTGGCTAGCCTGAAAGTAAGGACTTAGGACGCGTATGCTATTTTATTTAAATAAATGTAAAGGAAACCCTCCCCGTCGTGGTGGTGGAGCGGTTTTCCTTCAGTTTAAATTTGCCGCTTTAGCCCTAAATGTTTTTTTTGTATGATGGTAATTAAGAAATGTCTGACAGGATTAAGGATACGTCTGGATCTGGCGACGGATGGCATTTCTATATATGGATAACAATATTCATTTAAACCTGAAGAAAGGGCATTAAATGTTGTTTCTTGTTTTTCAGGTGAATATTGTTTTATATTAAATAATGTAATGTATAAACTTTCGTGAATAGTTGTGAATAAAATATCTTGTTTTTTAGAGAAAGCAATTACGTTTTTCTAATAAAACTATAAAAGTCTATATATATAAACTAAACTTCTGTTAAGATCTTTTTACAATGATTCCCTTTAATAATTGAAAACTAAAGGAAAACATTTTCAACATCTGAAGCATCGGGCCGTATTCTAAACCGTTAAATTTGTTTTATTTAAATAATCTGAATTAATTTATATGTAGGCCTTGAAAACATAAACAATCATCGTCACATGTTAGATATTAAATATTGACAGATTGAAAATATTATCGACCCGTCGAAATCAATGGTCGTAAACTTTGCATAAGTTTTTACGTAACCTCTCAAGTACCGCGTAACTTAGTATCGTTCTCATTTCTCATCCCCGAATGCAACGAGTCGCGCTCGCCAGTTGCGCAGGCGCAGTTGATGGTCAAAACTCAATCTGACCGTGTGTTAATCAAATCTGGGACCGCGTGTGTTAACGTTAGTGAGTGGTTTAGTGTTTATTACTGTTAAGGTGAGTTTCTTTTCATGATCTAAATTTATAACTGCCAAAAACATAACGAATGTTTGAAACAATCTAGAACTTGGTTGAGTTAAAATAAACTTTCTACTACTATTTATTCTAAATAGGAAAATGCCCCGAATCCACATACATTATAATAATATGTTGTTTGTTTAATTAACATTCAAAATAAATACACATTCAATCTTATAATTTTAATTACACTATCCATATTTTCCTTTCAATACTGTTTATATTGTATTGCCTAATGATAACTAGGTATTATTATTATTATTATTTCTTGTTGGAATTAAATTATTAGAAGGAACGAAAAAGTACCATGCGTATTCCAGTACATCATAGATTCGAATCCCGCTTGCTTCATCATCAACAATTTATTATGAAAGTGTAATTTATATATTTAGCACAAATTCCACACAAAGTCTATGAATGAAGGTGAAATAGTTATTCACCCATATAACATCTAGGCAAGATGCGCTGCAACTATTTTACTTTTAAATAAACATTTGAACCGAAATGGTTACCAAGTTTAAAGCTCTCTTTAATATTGTTCACATTGCTCATGATGGCACTATATAAATTAAAAAGTGATTTTATATTGTTTTTTTTTGTCACGGACAAGACTTGAACGGGCGTTCATAGTGTTTCTCTAACCGATTGAGCTACCGAATCCTGTAGCTCAATTAGTTAGAGCATTAGCACGGAACGCCGAGAATGCCGGTTCAAGTCCTGCTCGAGTCGTAATTATTTTCGATATATAATATTTAATTTATGTAGTTATTAGTTTCTAATGTAAAGTTAAAATATTATGTGTGAAAAGTACATTTAAACAAAACCACTAAATAAATATGGACTATCAAATTTATTGAAATCTAAAACTAGGTACGAGCTCCGGAAGTTCGAAATGCCAGCAAAATTCTATGAAGAAAAATCGACTTTTTAAATTGTCGTGATTGATTTAAAATCGCATTTATTCCTCGTCAGAGCAGAACTTGGTTTGAAAAATATACTTTGCCAATCGAATAAGAACCGTAACAAACTTTGATATGATTTGAATATTCAAGAACTGTCGTTAACTTTTTCAGTGATCTTTTTTCCTACCTTGAGACTTTACATCATGCACTAAATCGCTATTTTGTACGTCTCCCTGTTTTGTATTTTCTTTTAATTATATTGTAATTTAATTTTCTTTTCCAATATATTGTTCTAAAAATGATAAAAAATAATTTTATTTGTGTAATATACAATAATCATGTATCTTATACCTTAGCCTATGCAACGAGATACGCTGTCGATCTATTTTGGCTTTGGATATTCGGAAATCCACAGACTTAAACCCAAAAAGCCATTAAGCTTCGCGGCTTTTTCATCTGTGGACGGTGGTTCGTAACCCGGACAGAATTTCTATATTCCTACCACCCATTAAATCTCAAGATTTTCAGACAAAGTCCAACATTTTTCAGAAGAATTTTGAATTGAAAAATTAGAAATTATGTTAGGCCCGGTGGGAATCGAACCTGTCGTAGGTTCTTCTTCCATTTGACAAACTAGCTTGCTATCTTTAATTAGACCTTGTACGTTCAATATACAAAATTATTCAAATACTAATCTATAAAGTACTATGTAGTTAAATAAAACACTTTAACGGTTTAAAACGCGATATATTAGGTAAACTTATTTGAAAATGATTTTTAACTTCGGCCCGACGTTTCGGATGCTTTGCAGCACCCGTGGTCACGGGGAGAATACGGCTGCTGCAAAGTGCTGCTTAGAGCAGCACGGAACGATATGGATGCCGGTTCAAGTCCCATCCGTGTCATATTTTTTTTAATCTATATAGAATTTTAAAGTACACAATATGAAGCTTTCAAAATCTAAATATGTACTTTCTCGATAATGACTTCCTATCAAAGCTCTTGTTAGATATTGTAAAGATATTATTGAAACGTTGAGAGGCGAAAGGTAACCTACATAGTACAATTATTTTCTGTACGTGATAATTGTTACTTTCACTTGTAATAATTGAAATAGCCATATTTAACTATACATTTAATTCTAAGCTTACTAAATTTAGAGTCGAAATTAAAACTAAAATCTTTAAAAAATAGGCACTTAGATTTGACTGTTTAACGCGAAATTTATTGGTCACTAATAATAAAGTGTTTTATTAATTACCTAATACAGTTCCACTTTAAAACCGTTAAAACTGATTTATTAATTAACAATATCAAAGAAGGCCTACTAAATAACTAAGACTTGGTTTGATTACATAAAAATATTTAGTTTGTAGGCGTTAGGTGATTTCCTGGTTCTTCCATCAATCATAATATGATTTCGTATACCGTTCGTATCTTACTTACATTATTCGGAATGTAATATCAAGCTCTCTACACAGATACGAGTACTAATCAAATATCTTGCATTGCAATATAATTTCATTTCTAATATTCATTCAGAGGTACTTTTATATGGCATAATCTATACTAATATATACAGCTGAACAGTTTGTTTGTTTGAACGCTCTAAACTCAGGAACTACGGGTTCGAATTGAAAAATTATTTTTTTGTTGGTGAGATCATTTAGCGAGGAAGTTTAATACATAAAACATTGTTCTGTGACTAATAAAAGAAGACACAGGAATAATGTGAATAAAAACGGGAAAATTATTAATCGAATTAGTTAATTCGTACTATCGTTACTAGTTAGTAATTCGAAAAATTTTCTATTCGATAAGAATAAGTAAGAGTAAAAACAAAATCAAACTAAACAATACCTTATTAAACTAGTGAACTGTTTTTCTCATACTCGTATATAGAGAAAGTGGGAACTATTAAAATCTGATGGTGAAGATGATATATTACGACTGACATTAGACACTTTGACAGGCAAAAGAGCTTCATAAGATTTATCTACTTAGAACTGTAGGGCATGTCAACAGTTTTCCCCAATGACAAAGCACCTTCGCAGGCATAAACTGTCCACCATTTACAATGTTGAGAGATACGAACAGAGAAATCTATACATTTAGGACTTACTCGTGTATTGAAGGAGAAATTGCCGACTTAGGTTTTCATTTCGTATTCTGTAAACTCGCATGTAAAATTAAAATACAGTCCCCCCGTGACCACGGCTGCTGCAAAGCATCCGAAACGTCGGGCCGTATTTAAAATAATTTACAAATAAGATTAACTATATATCGCGTTTTAAACCGTTTAAGTGTTTCATTAAAATGCGAAAGGTCTTTATTGCTATTTATCGTTTGTCAATTTTAATTGTATAGGAAATGGCTATGAAATGTTATAAAACGTTACTATATATATATATGTAATAAACAAAAGGCTGTTTTGTCTGTATCTTGCTTCTCATATTCACTACTAAAACGGCTTTACAATAATCTGATTACGGAAGTATAGGAGTATTAGGGATTTAAGAGAGCATATTAACTTTGCGAAATATTTTGCAAATAGACCCGCTTAACAAACATATTGACAGTGTTTAAATAAAACACTTTTGGGTTTACAATGCGATATATAGTTAAACTTATTTTAATTACGGCCCGACGCTTCGGATACTTTGACTATTGACATTGAATTTATTATATCTTATTTAATATTTCTCCGGTTTTTTAATAGACATATTACAGACATACCTAGCGTATATAAAATTATATTTAGTTTAGAATTTTGCAATTATTTAAATCGTGACGAACTATTTTCTTTCCAGTTCAATCATGGCGCAAGTCATTGTGAATTCAACGCAAAGTGTTCTTCGGGATACCTATGACTATTATCTGTGGACTCTATCACTGTCTGGTAAGAACATTCTTATTTATATATACACAGAAAACACGTACACATACATATATAAAACAGTGAGAGTTTTCAAAGGGAAGTATTTTTTTCCGATACAGAAAATCGTTTGGAAAATGATCCCCAGTCTCGTGAATAGTTATTTCAACAACATTTACAACCATGACCTGCATTGTTTTACTATAATGCAAATATTTGTTACATAATATAAAACTGGTATTTCTATAATTAGAAAATTATTCGTGTTTACTATGCTAATAGGTGAGAATTTCGTGAGAATATTTTCTAAATAACTCTATTTTTAGATTACTCCGCTTTAGTGCCTCATTATGTAAACACATAATGTTAATATTATGGAATTGAAACAACATTTAGCATTTTTTAGGCATAATTAAGACATATGTGTCGGTTATAGCTTTTGAAAGTAGGCAAAACAAAAAACTAACGATGTCAGGTATTAATTATACAAGTATATACTGTTTATGTTTTCGTTGTTTTAATTTTTTATGATAATATTACTTAGGCAACTTTAAAAACACTAATACGCAAGAGACCGTCTCAGATAGGATAAGATAGAGCATAGAGAACACAGAACTCACAAACCACAAAATCATCACCACAGATCACGACCTCTCTAGCACGACTGAGAAGAATATCATGCTTGTCTGTCGCCCTCTATCATAAAAAAAAATCTATTTTTATTAATTTAAAAAAGGTTGCAACGATGAACAACTTGTACATACAGAAAGTGACACTAGTTTCATTAGACACAGCTTTGAGCTTTGAGGAAAAGCTACAATAGGAATACTTCCCACAGTCATCTTTAGTGTATTAGTGAGTCAGAATTGGTTTGCATAATATATTAACGATTCCTGGTGTAACATGAGTTTGTATGTAAATTATATTCGAGCAAACATGTAGAAGAGACACAATCTTCAATACGCATATTATATTCATAAGATTCACTTACGTATGTGATTTTAATGAAGCAATATAATTAATTTGTCGGTTCTAGTAAGCCTTATATTAAAAAATACTAAAAATATTTATTACGTAAATCATTATATAAACAATAACAATGATTGGAAAGCCTCCTCCAAAAATATGTTGCACATTTTAAAAGAAGACCCTAAAATAAGGTGAGAGAAGTGACGGCAAGTATCCTGCCAATTCTTCTCGTTCAGTAGACAGGTAGTGAATGTTAATTTATACTATAATGACGTTATAATTTAAAAATCGAACTCGTCTCGACTCCGTAGCTCAATTGGTAGAGCAACAAGTCATGTTCAAGTCCTGCCCGAGTCGAAAATTTTTTTCAAATTATTTTCGATTTATAAATTATATAGTTCCTTCATGTGCAATAACATGTAAAAAATAATAAAGTTTTCAAATATAATGACGTTCATAAATGTGTACTAGTTTCATACAAAAATAAAGATGGAATCAAAAAAAATTGTCTCTATGTATCCCCAATCCAGCTATCCATAAAATAACATATACGTTTTTTTTTAATGTATGCCACTGTGCACAAAGTTCTTCAAAGATTTTGATAATGGCTACGTTTACAGTAGTTATTAATGCAAAAAAAAAAATTACCGCATACTTTTGTTAAAGTCTCCCTATATCCTATATTCAAACATTTAACATATTGTTACAGACAAACGGACAGAAGGATGGCCGCTAGTCGATTCCCCACTACCCACAGCCGTATACACACTACTATATTTATTCATAGTGTGGATCGGGCCTAAAATAATGAAGAACCGACGGCCTTTCCAGCTCACTTGGCTGTTGGTGCCCTATAACCTAGCCATGGCCGCTTTGAACGCATACATCGCGTTACGACTTCTAACGGCGTCGTTTAGACTTCGGTATAGCTATATTTGTGAGCCATGCAGGCAGAGATATGATCCGGACGAATTGCAGGTGAGTTTTGTGGCTTTGAAGAGAGAGACGAGCATGAGTTTCGATTGATTAAAGGTGGAACATCCTACTCATAGTTACACCTGTCTACATCTAAATAAGAAGCAATGTCGATTCTAATTCATATTGTAAAATTCTAAGACCACTACAATATCAAGAAACTTAATCACATTCTAGGAGATCATTTTCTTTTAAGCCATAATAAGTAGTCAATATGAAATTCCCTTTTGTACAGATTTACCTTTTATATTCATACTAGTTGTTGCAGCGACTTGGTCCGCATAGAATAGTTATTATGGGCATCAAAATTTGTTTTTGAAAACTTCCTTATCTTTATAAATTGTTATAGCTGTAACCAACGACGTCGTCCGCGTCCCGTTTTTTGCAAGTTAATCTTAATAATAGACATACAGTGTGGCGGACATTTTCTTAGATCATTAAAAGAAGAATCATTCTTTCATTCATTTTTTTTGGTACCTTGTACCGTTTTCGCATGCAATGGAAACCCTTAAAAAAATAAAATTATTATCCTCGTTTCTTCCACATTTCCTACCACACATTCCTCCTATTGGTCACATCGTGGTGTTTAGAATATAGCCAATAAAACCTTCCTAGATAAATGCTCTAAGCAACACAAAAATAACTTTTTAAATCGAAGCCGTAGTTCCTGAGATTAGCGCGTTCATAAAAAGAAAGAAACACACAATAATTTCAGTTATATATATTAGTATAGATAAAAAATATACCTAGGATGATTTTATTTCTATATCGTGGAGAGGCATTTTCCGGGAAAAGAGATAGATCCCGTGTTTCTTGTGTGGAGCTCTGGAAACTTTTGTTTGTTTTATTTCGTTTTTCTTGGATCGTTGAGACTAGATAGACGTTTGTGTGTAAATGAAGATAATTACCCCTAGTCGTATCTAACGTATGAAAAATTACAGTTTTAATTTACTTAAAAAGGCACGTGTATTTATTCAAAACTAGACACGCCAGTTTTTTGCCATATAAATTATTTAATTATGAATGACTTACTTAAAAAATCGAGGCGTTAAAATTGTGTGTAAAAAATATTAATGGAAAAAAAACATAAGTAGTACTAAGTGATATGAAAAATATACAGTAGCCGAGTCTCAGATCTAGATTATGGATAATATACAGTTTAAATTTCAAATGATTTGCTGCAGCCATGGTCACGGGCAGGTCGCGGCTCGTACACCTTCAAATATTTTTAACAAATATACATCGCGTTTTAAACCGTTAAAGTGTTTTATTTAAATACATACTTCTCGCGTAAACTACAGGCAGTACTTTTTCATTTAAATATAAATACTATTTTCGTAAACACCTTTCAAGTAAAAACCAATTTTAATAATACATAAGTGGATAGACCCCGTAGATGACGTCTTTGGTGTGACTATGATCAATGATAAATTATGAAGAAAATATTGCTCCGAACCATAATAAGACAGGTCAGGTAGACCTCAGGGATAGTATGATTTATTATTTTCCGTCAACTCAAAATTTTTCTACACTTTCAGAGCAATTGCTTTTTGCCTATCTTAGGAAGCATTGTCTATTGTTTACGCGATCGTATTTTTATCAAACATAACATAGTTAAATTTAAAAAAGTTAACAAATAAAATAAATCGAACAATATTTTAATTGTAAGGCATTGTTCTTAGAAAACCTTTTAATATACTGCATAAGGGCGATCAAAGAATTTGATTACAGCAGAAAATAATGTTTTAGACACGGCATTCCAGTCTATAACCATACTAATATTTAATCGTTTTCAATCCCTTTGTAAATAAACCGGTCTTCTAAAAATATCCTCAACGAATTTAAGGAAATACTGGTGACCTTTTCTTACCTTTCCCAACCTCTAAAAATAATATAATTATGTTGCGTTAGCTGTATTTTTCGCGTCTATACAACTCTTTCAAAGTTTGCCAAGAGATTTTCCTGTTTGCTGGTCTTGTGTGTAATGTTAAATCAATCTTTAAGCTTGACATGAAAAGTCCGTGATTCAATAACAGGGAAAGCAAAAGCCACTAAATATATAGAACGCGATCATATACATATGTTTGTAAATTACCGCGTTATATGTCCTTATTTCTACATTTCAAACCAACCCATTAATTTTCAAGTACATACGCGATACTTAACTCTTCTTTGCTTCATGTTTTATCTTCCTAGATATTCTATGGACGAAATTTATTTTGATCGATGGAAACTGACTTATGTATGTGATATACAATAGCCTTATGCACCGTTAAGGCGGTAATAAGTTATTCCAAGAAGAATCTATTGTTTACGAGAAACATCACGGGATCGCAAACTATCACAATGTACTCGGTGTAAGGAGCTTAGGAATATTAAGTTTGATACGAAGTTTGTAAACTAATTCAAACGTTAACGCTTCATAAGTGGGATTAAACATTATTAAATAACATGAAAAAGTGAAGTCCCGGTTTTATTGTGAGGGCGTGGGGCAAATATATGGCTGTGTCCGTTTCACTAATTACTATTGTTTAACGTCAAGTAAGTTAAATAAAAAAACGGCTTAGAAGGCTAAATATAATATTAATAAACTTATTTTAAAATATTATTCCAACTGCGGCCCGACATGTCGGATTGCATCAGCCGTGTCACTGTGGGACTATTGAGTTTATCCCCAAAATCAAATATGCTATGCTAGCGCCATCTGTTTTGTTATAGCCGAAAATTGAAGACTTGTTCCTTCTTCAACTAAATGATGATGCTAAATACATAAGTTAAGTAAAATAAGAAATTAATTTTATAATTGTTCGCAGATAGCAGATGCAGTTTGGTGGTACTACTTCTCGAAACTTCTAGAGTTCTGCGACACATTCTTCTTTATACTAAGAAAGAAGGACGAGCAGTTGACCTTTTTGCACGTATATCATCATTCCACTATGTTCTCCTTCTGGTGGATCGGAATCAAATGGGTGCCCAGTGGATCTAGTGAGTTTTCTCTTAAGTTTAAAACGCGATTAAGTAAGAATGTAGATATGTTGTTCATTTATCTAAAAACTACTAATCTTTAGTTTCGCCCACCTTGCACATCTCTTTTGTCCGTAAACTTTCTTTTCTTTCATCTTGACTTGCCTGGAAGAGATCGCTAGTTAGCGATAAGGCAGTGCATTTACTCCATATTTTTAGTGTATGAGTTGTATTTTTGTTTTTTTTCTTTTGTACAATAAAATTTTATTAAATGAAATAACCCATCTTTGATAAAATATTACAGTGAGACTCGTAAATAAAACTTATTAATAATTCATCCCAATAATCCATACGCTATAAAAATTACGATATTGTGTAACCAGATACCGACCCGAGCGAGTGGTTATATAAAAAAGCACTTTGTCAATTAATAGAATGAATAATAATGTAGATTAAAAGTAGCAAAAACAAAATTTAAAATGTATCAAACCAAAATAAATTGGAGGCTTTGCATGAAGTTTTAACTGATATAACATATAGATTTTTTTATGCATATAAATTGCAGCCAGCTTGTATATAAATTAAAAAACTCTGTCATTCTAGCGTTCCTGCCAGCTATGGTTAACAGCGGAATCCACGTCCTAATGTACACATACTATGGCCTATCTGTGTTTGGACCTGCTGTGAGCCAGTACCTCTGGTGGAAGAAGTATCTCACCATCTTACAGCTGGTAAGTAAGAAGGCATACAAATATCTATCCGAGCAAGTTATTGTCTGTAGTTTACTAATATGTATAAAGAATAATTAAATTGAAACTTAAATACACATCCTCGATAAGTGTAACACGAGAAATGTTTTTTTTTTTGACATAGACTTCTTGCATAGTCTGTAGTTTTTGCGAATAGAACATATTGAAATAAAATACATTAAACGGTATAAAACCTAAATATCTTAGATAAGTATACTTAATTTAACTACGGCCTGAAATTTCGGATGCTTTAAGATGTATATGCTCCAGCGGGTTTTGAACACAAAACAACTGCATGTTATAGTTCTCAATCTTATTGAAGCAATTAGACAAATACACGTTGACAATATATTTACATAATTGTTAACGACTAATAATTTCCGGGCACAATAGTTTGTTATAGTTTATGTAACACATATGAAATCTCTTTGTTAAACCCTTCGCTTATAATGTATTATTTTTGTTCGTAGATCCAGTTCACCTGCGCTCTCGTTCTTGGCATCAACGGCATCAGGACTGGCTGCGAGTTTCCTTTGTGGATGCACTACGTCCTCATCATCTACATGATCTCCTTTATCGTACTCTTCGGAAACTTCTACATGAAGGCATATCTTGCTAAGGTACGTGGTCATAAGACAATGTACTTTTTTAATAAAGGCGGTATTTTTCAATAACATTTTCTTTTCTGTAGAAAGTATTGTCTCTAGTAAAATTTCGAGTCGTAAAGAATAAATTTAAATGTGATACATTGCGCGTTTTAAGCGATAAATTTTTTCTGCTGAAATAAGCAAATGAAGTAGTTTTAAATGATCGCTGACAGAGAAATATTCCGTATCTGGTTAAAAACTTTAAAGTTTTTCACATGTTATTGCACGATATAAATTAAAAATCGATTGTGAATTTTTTTTAAAATACGAAATTGTCGTACTGGTGTCGTATTTTTTTTTAAATTATAACTATTTTTTTTGGAATAATAAAATCAATAACTCAGTTTAAGTTTAAACAAAGATATTTTAAACTGAAGCACGAATAACAAGTGCACTTTAAAGTTAATATTGAGACAATAAAGTTTATATTTCTGAATACACTATAAATTGTGCTAATATGAACTCTGAATTTCTTCAATACCAACAATAAAATAACCAAGAATATACTGTTGAGCTTCTATAGAGCTTTGGGAAACTTTAAGTTGCCACCCTGTTTGGCTCGGCAGATAACATTAGTTCGTGAATCATGTAGGTTTCCTGGCGCCCAAAGATTGTGTTCACTGCATTAGGAAATATTTTAAGGATTTATATAAATATTTCGAACATTAAAATCGATTTTTAAACTTTAAGGACTAAAAAGGATTAATACATTAGGTTATTTAAATTTATTATTATATAAAAACAACTTAAAACCACTTTAAAAAATAATAAATATTCCGGTTCCAGTAAGTTGTCTTGATAAGCTTTCGACAATTATATATATTACATTATATATTTATATTATATTACTTCTGCATACACATATTTATTATTTATGCATATCTTCGGATAGTATGAAGTAATATTAATATTATGCAACCGAATATTCTCACTTTAAGTTAAGCGTTTATGGGTTAAAAGTTTGATTAAAGCGTCATAAAAATGCCTTTTGGCATCACGATAATGAACGTTAAAAGAAATCTCGTTTCGAGATGCACAAGGAGGCTGCGAGGCGTGATGTAACGGAATTGGTCACTTTCGCCTTACGTAACTTGGACGTAACCACGCGCTTGATTGTTTAACGGCACTTGCTAGAAGTTCTATTTTTAAAAAGTAAAAGCTAACACGCCTCGTAAACGCATTTCCGGGTCGAGTTTCGACTTCCGGTTTGCCCGGGATTCTATTATATTGGGAAAAGGTCGGAAAATAGCAGGGAACATCACGTTCTGATGACTTCGCCAATGTTCGTATTAAAAAATGTAATAATTTAAATAAAAACACTTTAGCAGTTTAAAACGCGATATATTAGTTAAACTTATTTGAAAATTATTTTTAATTTCGGCCCGACGTTTCGGATGCTTTGCAGCAGCCGTGGTCACGGGAAGACTATTACGACGGGTAGTCTCCCCGTGACCACGGCTGTTGTGGGATGTAAAGACCAGATAACATCGCATTACTATTACGAAAATATTTAAACATTTTAACTCTCATCTAAAGATCCTATATACGTATATTTATATATATGTATAAGTTTCACTTCGAATTCCAGAACCTTAGTTGTTTAATTAAAATTTAAAACTAACAACTTGTTCAACTAGTCGTAGTAACCTAGTGAACTAGATTAGGATTAATAATGTTAATGTAACTAACGATTTGGATATGTTATGTAGACCAGTCAAATGTATTAACTTTTATAGATATAATTTTACTGACGTTAATAAAACTGTTAAAATTATATTTTTCTATTGGTTTAAGCTAAGAAAAAAGGGGGGACTCCCCTTCCTAAGTCAGAAGAGACCAGCATTACTTATTTTTAATTAAAACTAAATTTTATTGTTACAATAACCTTTTATGTTTAATCAGATGTTAAAATTATAAGATATTAAGAATAATTGTTCACTTACAGGGAAGCAAGTGCATGGAAGTGAGATACGGACAATGCTTAGACGACGAAGAAACAATTCAGAAAAGGAAATTGAAAAACAACTGAACTCAATCATAGTGTATTTATAAATGTAATTTATTCCTTAATCTAAGCTCTTTGTAACATACCATTGTAATATAATATAGTCGTTGTGTTGAAGAAATGTTTTATTTACTGAAAACCTATACATACACATTTTATTTTAAATAGTTAAAGACGTATATTTTAGTTGAAATAACTCGAAAATATAGTGTTAGCTCCCTTTTTCATAATATTATACATTGTCTATAGTTTTAACGGTTTAAAAAAATAATTTAGTTAACTTACTTTTATTTAATTTAAATTACGGTCAGACGTTCCGGTTGCTTTACAGCGGCCCTGGTCACGGAGGGACACAAATAAGTCAAATAAAATATTCGCGTTTTAAACCGTTAAAAGTGTTATATTTTAAAAATAATATTATGTCTTTCGATTAGTATCTACATCGGACTTATTTTAACAATTTCTCGTTACCTCTTTAGTACATTTAGTGTGGATCCCCATTTTTATGAAACTCCATAATTAAATCTTGTCTTGAATATAGCCGCATTTTAATTCGTTTGTAAAATAAAGACGCCTTTTTAAGGGGGAACAAACTAGAGGCATCGTCCTTGCATTGCATATGCTAGGTACTGTATACTATCTAAATATAATACAGTATGATAAAAGGGCAATATTTCATAACTAGCGGTGCTAATATCATTAAACTTGTTGACACTGCGCACGCGCCATGTACGCCACCTTCTGGGCGCGCTGCACAACTTCAGTGCACCTCTTGCGCCGAATCATCTTGCAGTCTTGGAAAAAGCCTTCGTTTCTCGGAAACCCATTGCTTCCGTCACAGAATGTCACAAGACCTGATGAGTTGTTGGCATTTTTGGGTCACCAGTGTGTGTTAATATCTATATTCTAACTATAAATAAAGCTGAAGAGTTTGTTTGTTTGAACGTGCTAATCTCAGAAAGTATTGGTTAGAATTAAAAAAATATTTTTGTGTTGGTTGGGGCATTGATTGAGGAAGGCTAATAAACATCACGCTGCAACCAATAAGAACGAAGATGCAGTGGAAAAAATGGAGAAAACTGAAAAAAATATTCATCGTTGTGGAATTCCTTTGCGTATGCTGCGAAAACGAGTGAAGATACCCAAAATTTAGGAAAAAGTTTACGACTGTCTATCTAATATTAATTTGAATTATACGCGGACAAAGTCGCTGACACAGCCAGTATTCAATCTTGTCTAAACTGTGTACTCCCAAGTGGTGCAACTTTTGCCTCATTATTTAAGTTTTATGTACATATAATTAAAACTACTTACTGATAGTAGCAATTACTAAAGATAGTCTGGCACTTGCTTATTACATTAAAGTATGTTTCTTTTTGATTGTGACAAAGGAGGACTGACATAGGGTTTACTTGATCAAAGATGAAATTTAGCCACAAACGTGATGTAGTACCGACCTTTTAGCTTTGGATTGACTGAAACCTAAGCGCGATCATTCTTCATAATTCCATTCATAGTTCCATTTTGGGACGGTAGTTTGAACTTCGGATGAAATTCCGATTATCTAATCACCCAAATAGACTTTTTTTATAACGCGAACATGTTTCAGTATGAATTTTGAAAATATCTAGACGTTTGTGAGAAGCGAACCAATCTCGTAACTATCCAACATTACCAGCTTTTGAAATAGACGAACGAGCTTTTCAAATATATAACTAATTTGTTTGCTTCATATATATAAATAGAGACGAAAATTTGCTTCCGAGAATCAATGATTATGTTAGTGAATAATGTCGTCAGTTTGTGCTACAAACATGGTGTACATTTTTTGCTTTAATATTAGTAAACATAAATATTTATATAGGTTCTATATTAAAAAGAAATTAAATGTATAATATAGTCCTCAGTGATTCAAATCCTTCATTTAAAAGATCTACCAATAAAAACACCGTGAGTGTTCTAAAGCTTAAGTCAAGAAACTAAGAACATAAATTTGGGTGAACTTCTATCCTAAATAAATACTTTGCCAAGATATCAGAGATGTTCTGACTAATATTTCTGGATTAAGATATCACATGGGCTTAGTACGAAACAAAGTATTTAGTACATAGAATAAGTTATAATACAAAATTAAATTTTTAACTAGAGATTAAGAGTTTATTGGTTTGTTTAAACGCGTTACTCTCAGTAGGTCCGTTCGAGAGTAGTTTGAATTGAAAAATTATTTTTGTGTTGGTGAAAATATTTATGGGGTAAGACTTTAGGCTATACAATTTTACGATGAGAGTTATTGGTGCCAAGAAACAGTGGAGAATGTGGAACACACGGGACGCTATTTTATAACCCAACACAGCTAGTATTACATAAAAAGACAAAGGTATGTGGTAAATAGTAATAATGAATAACTGCAATGCAAATTAAAGAAGTTAAAATATAAACCACTCCAATTTGGAGTACTGAAGAATGCCTTACTTTTGACCAATGTGGCATGATTTTCTCAACTCTTTTGTTTTCTCTGTTAGTAAACTTAAATTGAAGGCTAATTAAAAAACCCTACCTAAACCCCACACTCTTCCTCCTCTGAATTCGCCTTCAAATTTCATTCCATCAGCTCGCCAGAAGACTCCATGACCGTGAAACCAGCCTTGCATGAACTCACCTTCATACCTAAAAAGAAAAAAAATTAAAGGTATACATAGTATACAGTCTACACATAAACAAGATAATTGGGATGGATAACGCGAATTTAGTTCTTAATACCTGTATTATTATAGCTACAAAAAATCAAAACATTCATCATGAGTTTAAAAAGGCATTTGACCACAACGCGTTTGACCTTAGCTAAGCTGTTCTGCTATCTGTACTGAGTGAGCCACATTGCCTAAGAGAGTTTAGACTAAAACTGCCACCAGCTTGGTAACCCACAATCAAGAGTACTAATTCTTCTAAGTACATCGTAAATCATTTCGTAGTGGTATTAGGTGTTTTACGAAAGACATAATACTTAAATCTCTTACTAGACTAACTAGAAACATTATACAGCATGTAAGTAGTTCCCACAAATATGCCGTATGTGTAACTGCCATAAAATACAGCAATTGGCAGTGTATTTTACTTGGTAAATTTGCTAATGAAATTTCACGCCTGTTAAAATTACAATAGCAAAAATTACAATTCACAATTATTACTGTTTCCATAACACAAATCTGTTATTTTTTTTGAAATTACTATTCAAACAGCTTTCTGTTTTGAATGGTAGGTGTCTTTTTGTAGTTTTACGAATGTAATATTATGTAGTACATTATATACTTAAAACTTTGCCAACCAGAAAAAGTCTCCTAAAAGATTATATGATGAAGAAACAAGAATTATTAATGAGAAGACTCACACAAAATATTTAAGAATATACAAATACCAACCTACTTACAACTATAAAGAGAATTTCAATATGACGATGGTAATAACTCAGGTATAGCATCATGACACTTCTTTATTGTCAAGAAGAAAATAACGAGTTTTTTCCTTTTCCCGAGATATAATTTTCGCACCAATTTCTTATTTTACATTGTCGGGTTATTTATATCGAGTTTAATAAGTTGTCTTATAAGCTCTGCCTAAATTATATCGTTATTGAAGGTTAATATTCGCTAAAGCCAGGGCTTTAGAGAACTAGAATATTTGTTTAGGTTTTAAGTGTTTTAAGTGTTTAAGTACCCGAAATTTGTATAAATTCCAGTTGATAAAAAACCGCTAGTTTAAATTAAAGAAATGCTGCGGGAAATAAAGGACATTAATTGTAATATTCTTTTTTTTTAAGTTATAAAATCTCGTTGTACCTAATAATAATAGTGCAATAATTCATGGAATTAAAAGAAAAGAAAACTCTTAAGTATTATAATATAGTCGTACATTGTTTTAATAAATAAATAACTATCTAACAAAAAACTTTGAAAGATTCGTATGATCAGCAAATTAATATAAATGCGTTATTCATCTTTAAGCTTCAATAATATACATGTATATTTTACAAATATTATAACGGTGAAGTTGTTTGTACACGTTTAAGTTTAAATGGTAATCAATTCCGAATAATAACAGTTCGGCAAGGGATTCGGTTATAGAAGGAACCTAATTACAGGCAACTGTTAAGGGTAGAGGACACAAATAAAATTATAAAATGTTATACACTGATAAAGAAATATATGTCCGTTCGCAACCGTTCATTAATAATAATTAAATTTACTTTATTTTTTTATATGATAGATTGAAAATAGGAAATCTATACATTAGTAATTTTACCAACATCACACCTTATATAAATAAAAATGCTCAATACGGTTTCTCAAACCCAAAATTAGTCACAATATCGAAGGAAATAATGGTAATTTGTAATTTATTTGTACTACATTATTTTTGTATTTTGTATCCGCCTCCTGACTTAGTTAAACGTATTGCCAATTGAATTGTGTTGAGCCCGGGGTTCGAGTACCATGCAAACTATGAATTGTTTCTTTTGCAAATAAAATCAATCAATGATATCAGAATTGCATTCGCCCCATACCACATAGGGAAAATGTGATTTCACAATAATTTTAAGCAAATTGTTTAAAGGAAATTTTCATCTCTGTGGGTCTCAGATGCGTACGCTGCGAAAACGGTTCAAGACTCCCAAAAAATGTGTGTGAAAGAATGATTTCTCTTTAAATGACCTAAAAAAAGTCTATCTTTTAAGATTAACTTGCTAGAACGACGGGACCGGAACCACGGGTCAAACGGGTAGGTTGGCAAATTAAATTTGGATGTCCAAAATAACTATTCTACTCGGACAAAGTCGCTGACACTGTTAATATGTACATATTTCTATTACAAAGCAATTTCCCATTTTGGCCAGAGTTAGTAAGGGAGTTAGAACAAATGTTTAGTAAAGTGATCCTTTGTCGAGGCTATTGCATTAAATAAATTGTTGTCCAGCTGTACTTTACGAACCGTATAATAAATGCAGAAACACAATTTAGGATAAAGCTGTACCTGGCTACATTTTATTAATTAATGTCTTAGAAAGCTTTGTTACTTTATGCTTTCATACAGGTTACTTAGTTAAGACGCTAATTAGAGGGTACATTTGGAGTTCCTACATATTATAATGTTTTACAAAAACCTTATTAGACTTGGCTGTCTGTCTGTCTATGTGTCACTAGGCAATATCGCAATAATCATGATCGCTAGATGACATTTTCATAATGTATGTATTCTGTCACTATTGTAACCATAAATACTAAAAGTATTTTTTTTTTCAATTCAATTAAAAATGTATACTTAATGTTCCTTTTAAACTAACTTTAATATAAAAATCTATCTATCTGTATGGCTGTTTATCATAAAAAAATATTTTAAAAAATCTAGTAGGTATCATTTTATATCTGTACCTATATATAAATTAAAATACACAATATTGCAAACATTCGCATTTCCCAAGAATACATATTGATTTTAAACTAATCGAACTAGCTAATAGGCGATTTATTTTTGAATTATTAGATAACCTAATGTTTAACATTCATATATCAATCAAACTTTCACTTTACACTTTCCCTAGACTTACTTAGCACCATCGGGAAAGGACATCACTCCCAATCCAGAACAGAGACCGCTCATCAAGGACCCATCATATCTGGTACCATCAGGAAGTACCAAGTGACCCATCCCATGTTTCTGGCCTTTGGAGTTCCACTCGCCAACATATTTAGTCCCATCTTCGTATTTGTATGCACCAGTCTTAGCTGCGCAGGGTTCAGCTGAAGAGAGTTTATGGCACTAATTAAGTCCTAGATACCCAAGTTTCAAGTTTAAGTCCCAGACGATACCGATAGTCGTTAGTAGGTCTTAAATAACGTTTGACTCCCTTCTTTCTTAGTTACAAATACCTACTACATATTTACTTGTGACAACGAAAATATTACGTAAAATTAACTAGGAGATAGCTTACTCTTAAAAAGACAAGCATAATCAATTTCATTCTTAATATAATGCATTGCAGTTACCTTCGTAATGATTTCTAAGGTAACTCCGACTAAATTTCACAGAACTAAGATCAAGATAGATTAAGTAATTACTGATATTATCAATATAGGTGTCTTTGAAACGACATACATTAAATTCATTCTACAAAAATCAATGCAATAATGTGTGAATAGCTATCGTTGGAGTTGTTCATTGCAAACATAGCTTTCAATAAAAAAAACAACTGAAATAACTCGTTGTGATTCTACTCATTCTTGATAAACAGACACACGTGTTACTACAACAAATAATTTAGTATAGGACAATGGGAAATGTTAGAGGAAAATTAATGAAAAACAAGTCTCACCGTCAACCATGTTTGTAACGCAGTCGACCCACTTCAAACTAGAACTAAAGGGATTCCCTGTACACTTGCTTAATCTAATTTGTGCGCACGTGATCTTGTTATAGGTGACATTGTTTAAATATATTTTCATTTCTAAACAGATAGTTAGAAAAGGAAAGAACATTCAATACATTACACCACACACACCACGTTTTGGTTCACGACCCGAACGGAATCTTATTATTCCTGCGATACATTTAGGCCCAACACTTTAAACGGTTCAAAACGCGAAATGTATTATATGTAAATTAACTTAAGCTCTAATTAATTGACCAGCAGCACAGAATTCTGTGGATGCGGATTCGAGTCACGCCTGTGTCGCTTTTTATTTCAATCTTAATAGGTTTTACATTTATATAATGCCTTTGTATGCAGATATTAACATTTTTAAACTTATTTTTGATTACAAAACGATTATAAATTGAAAAGCTTTGCTTCTTCGTTTGTTTATATTTGATTTATTTTACGTATGACCCGACGATTCAGGTGCATTTTATTTAAATGCGTACTACACGCTAGCAATGCAAAGTCCAACACGGTTCAGAATATTAAATTAATTAATTTTGATAACCTTGTTAGACTTATTGGGAAACCCACTACCCTATAATTATTAATAGCCATACATATAAACATTAAACCATGTTAATTGTAATATCAAAAGAATTGAAATCTGTGTTGATCAATCTGTATCTTCTTCTTAACGCATAATTTCGTATGATGTATTTGTAACCGAACGTGCTAATAGCTCTAAAAATAATAAGTTCTGTCAGACGCCGCCGCCTATTTTTTGGTCGCGTGTAATTTAATTATTTAATGAAGCAACCCTGACCTCGTTTTTCAGGTTCCATCAATCAGTTGTTTGTTTTCTGTCAAAAATTGCTTCGTATAATTAAACAAGAATTCGGGAGTATCAATACAAATTATAATTAGAGGCATGATCTTTAAACTTAAATTTTGTCGTCATGCTTATAGAACATGTAAGACGACGCCACAATATTAATTAATGAAATTATTATTATAATAAACAAAGATAGTAAATATAATTTTCAAAATTTCTTTGGGAGAACAAAGAGCAACTTATTAAAATTGTAAGTGAAGTCTTTGTAATAGTTATAAAATCGGCTCTGTAGCTAAATGTTTAAACGTGTTGTGTGGACTTGGTCCTGGGATCGAATCTCGGGGAAACAAATGGGATTATTTCGGTCGGACTGGGTATGTGTTCACCCCATGCCCCTCCGTCGCATCTAAAAAATCGCCATCACTTTTTATCGATATGAGAGTAAGAGTTAGAGTAGGAGTGATGTGAGGTGAGAGTGTTGCGACAAAGTAGCACTTACAACATAGATTGGCTGTGATAAATGCGCGATTACATAAATTAATAAACAGCCTAAATAATTAAAAATTCTACCCAAAGTCACTATTCTAGTTATATATATATTTTTCATTTACCCAATTTAGTTATAAGTTATAAATTTACTGTAAAAATGTGAATGGTAATAAAAAAATTTAATTTGAATTTAAATTAGATGCGCCATCGATCTATTTTGGATTTGGATATTCGGAAATCCACACGCTTTTTCAACCGTTTATCCGTTTATCCGAATTTCTATCACCCATTTCATATCCAGATTTCCAAACGAAGTCCAACATTATTCAAAAATTATAAATTGATTAGAAAAGTGTTAGGTCCGGTGAGGTATGAACCCACGACTAGTACATTGCTACCATAACACCAACGAGCCCGTCAATATTTATACAACATTGATGTAATATACAATGTGTCGATTTTTTTTCAACCTACTGTCCACTCGTGGCCCTTAATGGGCATTCCCCTTTTTAAGCATCGTAAAGTCCAAACCGCCCGTTCAATTAGCTACAGTCGTAATTGCACGGTAATAGGAGTACGACACATCCTTATTACCACTGCTGCTTATTGGCCATTCGTTACGTAACGTTACGTTTTGTAGAAACGTGCTCGATAAAGTTTTAGTCTGTACAATTACCCCGCCTAAGCAGTGATAAAAAAGGTCTTTAAGGACGAGGAAGGTTATTTCTTCGACACTATATGTCTATCTTATATAGACCAACCTGTAAGAACGATAGGACGCGACCGACGTCTGAGGTAACAGCTTAAATTTATAAATAAGAAGAGGAGGTTTGCAAAAACCAATTTGGATGCTGAAAACAACCATTCTAAGCGGACGAAGTCGCTGACACAGCTAGTTTGACATAAGTATAGTCTTTGATAAAGAAATTCTGGAACTTCAACCACTGTACTTCTCTTAAATTAGTAGCAAATTATATTATAATTTCTCACTAATAATAAACATAACTGGTACAATTAATTAACAGTAATAACGCAAACTACGCGATCGCATTTAAAATGCATATTTTGAAATTTGTCTTACTTTTTGATAATAATTGTCGTTTATAATATAAGAATCTATAATTATAATATTTAATACACTATGGTTTCTGTTCTCGATGTGTTAATTCTTAAATAAAACACTTTAATGGTTTAAAACGCTTACTTTAGTTAAGCTTATTCTAACTACGGTCCGACGTAATTAATATACGTCGCGTTTTAAACAGTTAAACTGTTTTATTTAAATGTGTACTACTCGCGTAAACTGTTAATGTTTGCTGTTAAAACTGCGTGCATTTTTTTTAGTAATTGTCATACAGGATATTTTTATGACAATAAGTTTGTTAGTTAACGCTAGATGGTGGTACATTTATTTATTTGTGTGTAACTTCATAAGTTTGTTAGAAGAAAAGAAACGTTTTTGTTTAAGTCTTTTTAATTGCATATTAGATAAAACAAACAGACATTATTTAGGGTTTTTATAACTAAATTAACAGTTAATTTAATAATACAAACACGTCTATTCTTAACGTGGTTACGAAGTGGTTCCTATTAGAATGGCAACAGGCAATGCCTAGTTTGGGATCACAGAAACTCAGTAACTAACAGATAGCAAAAATGTATAATCTCTAAATTAATTCTTATTTATATAAAAAAGATACATCACACCACTTGAAGAGAATAAATAATAATGTACTTACCTATATTTAGAATAGCTTGCATAAATTCAAACGGAGTTTTCAGCAAATTGTAAGTTGATACATTATTGTATTGTTTTACTCCACTTCTTACATTAAACATCTCATTTATACAAATATTTAAAGCTAAAGAGTTTGTTTGTTTGTATGTTTGATTGCGCTATAAATAATCGCGATCTGACAAATGTGAAAAATAACGAGGAAAATTATTATGCTTGTGGGTTTCCGTTGCGTACGCTGCGAAAACGGTTTAAGATACAAATAGAACTTTATTTAATAAATAATGATTTCTCTTCAAATTATTTTAAAAAAAGTCCGCATCAGTATATGTCTCTCTTTTAAGATTAACTTACACGTAATATATTAGGTCTAGCTCTGGTATTTAAGATATATTGTATTACTGTATTATTATCAAACGATTGTGAGCATAAGAATGCCTTCATAGTATTGTTTCCATGGCATAACTGAATTTTTCATTAAAATATTACATTTGTGAATCAAAATTGAGGAATAGGACGTAGCTCTTCCTTCCGCCGCTGCCGTCGGGTAAATTAGATACTCCGCAGATAAGCCAAGTACCGCACCGTCATTAGCGGGTGGCGCAGACGGGAGGAGCAAGGGCCGAATTACGTAAACAAGGTTGGCCGTTATCAAGACAGCATGCTATCGATCGCTGGCAAGGTCACGCCGCGCCGTGGGCTTCTAGCCCCGTAGACATGCCACAAATACGCCTATTCAAATAAACACACAAGTGTATATATGATACGAGTTTATCCGGGATTCGAATCCCGCACTTTTACACCTAAACCAAGCAGACAAAAGCACTTCTTTCTTTGATCATGAGTTTATTCGGGATTCGAATCACGCACTTAAGCCATCCAGGCGAACTTCTTTTTTTTTTCATTGTGCTAAAGTTTTTTAATATTGCTTAGGATTTAGACAGAACTAGCACTTGCTTTATATCTAATTTTTAATATTAAGGCATATGTAAACGAGGAGACACATTTACAGACATTTGTAGACATTATTTTGTTACAGAAAATAATGGAGTTTACTTGATGAAAGTTGAAGTATCCCAACCATATTTTAGCCCCGACTTAATTCGGACATTCTAGATTTTGTCACATTAGGTGGGAGTGTTTAAAAATTGAAAGTCATATTTTATAAACCAAAATGTTGCATGTCCATCTTCATAATAAAACTTTGATACTGTATTAATGGCAAATTACTTTATAAAAAAATAATTCTCTTAAAAATATTTTATCTTTGAGGTTGAATTTTGAAATTCATAGCGTTTCCTTCCTTACATTCTAAATAATGTTCATTAAATGTTTCCAAGATTGCCTTCCTCAGTGACATTAAGACTGGTTTTTCTACGTGACAATATCACTTTTACAATTCCATTAGGAGAATAATACTGTCACGTTTTACTTTGAAAAGTGACAAGGTGTTCATTTAATTAAAAGTACCCTACTGTTTTATTTGCGTGTTCCGAGGCATGATATTTATATGTAAATAAACTATATTTAAAACAAGATAAGTAAGGACACGGCAGCTCAATTGGTTAGAGTAGCACGGAACGCTGTGGATGTCGGTTCTAGTCTTGCCTGCCCGTATCGTAATTTTTAAGTTGTGAGATTTTTTACCAATCAGAAAAAAATATTTTCGGGACGTTAGTTAAGTATACTCTATATTTTAAAAAAGCTTATTTAAATATTCTAACTTCATAATGGAATTAAAAAAAGAGCAAGGACCAAACAAAATGGACCATATATATTTTATGTTTTTTTTCTTATATCTTATATTCTTCTCGTGTCGTTATGTCAGACAGAAAGACGGAAAAAATATATATTTAAGAAGGTTCTGTTTTTATCCCTTAGTTGAGAATCCTAAAAATAATATCTTCAATGCATTGTTATTAAAGACTTTTTCAAACTACGTCTCCAACGGAGACTTTTTAAGAGTATTAATAAAAATTCTAATAGTGAAATGATAAAATTCAATTTCTCGTGACGTTATCAGCATTTA